CTTTTTTCCTTTTTTTCTTTTTTCCTCTTTTTTCCCTTTTTTCCCCTGAGAAAAAAGAAGAAAAACAAGAAAAAAAGGAAAAAAGAAATATCCTGATTTTATTTTTCATTTTTTCCTTTTCCTTTTTTTCCTCTTTGTTCTCTTTTTCCCTTTTTTTCCCTGAGGAAAAAAAGAAGAAGAAAAAAGAAAAAACAAATAGAAAGTCAACCATCTTGGTTTGGAAAAATAAAGAAGGGTTTTAAGATCATCAGGTGCCATTGGAAGAAACTCCTGGCTCGGTTTTGGAACAGCTTGGGGAAAAAGGTCAGTGTTTCAGATCTACCTGGGTCTGACTCAGTCCCAGGACTTTTACTGTCCAGCTCCTCAGATAAAGGTTGGCCACGGGGCTGAGGAGCCAATCCAACACTGTGAATCCCGTGCAGCTCTGCCTGCAGCTCATCGATGCGGTCCTGCAGTTCCTATCAAAACAAACCCAGAGGGTAAATATTCCTGTCACTGCACTGCTATAAAAACAGGCAGAGAATGAGTTCAAACTGTTGGAGGTTTAGCTGCAGTTACCCTGCACTGAGCTTCATAGCTGCTGCGAAGCTGTTTGACTCGCTCTTCTTGAAGCAGGAAGTCTGCAGAACCAGGATCCAGGTCTCCGAACTAAGTAAATAATATCATACATGCATCAATTTTTCACTGGGTTTGGTTTTAGGGACAATATAACAATAAAACTAAGAACCAAAAATTAAACATAAAATTGCTAAATTAGGTAAAGAAGAAGCCACCAGCTAAATGTAGCAAAATACTAGCCAACAGCAGAAAGTATTACAGGGTAGCTGATGACCCTCTTCCACTAGCACCTCTACAGCACAGTTCAGCTTGGTTCAACTCTGTTCAGAATGGTTCTGGTGGTTCTCAGTACATTTCAGGAGCAGCACTAGTGGGTGGGTTCATCACAAGGTTGGGCGGTCCCAAGGCTGAAAACTGGCGCCACACGCCTTTGCCAGCTGGTGGCGGTAATGCTCCATTAAGATATTTGCCAGCCACCATTAAACATAGCAGAAGAAGAAGAATATATGCAACACAACAGAGGAGGAGCATTGTAAAACATTCTGCTCAATCTGTGGCTTTTTGCCACATGCTAAAAATCAGACTGCAAGCAGCGAGACGAAACATTCAGGAGAGGTACAGGAGAGCGTGGGAAGACAGGACACGAGCTAGACAACATCTGAGGATAAGCTAATGCTAATCTGCTAGTGGGCTATACGAACGAGTATAAAACCATGTAATGTCAGTTAAATAAGGTTTAGTAATTAGCATGTGTGTTTCAAATAAATCTCCTGAAAAATAAGTGCTGCAAACCTTCAGTCTGAAAGTCCTGATGCATCTCAGTAATCCAGGTAGAAAAAAAAATCAGTAGTTCCTCTGGATGGGTTCTTCTTTAGTGAAACGTTTCGTCTCTCATCCAAGAGACTTCTTCAGTCTGATGAGTTTCAGGTGAACTCAGCCTTAAAAGCACTGCCTCCACATGGTGGGAGTTTCAGAGAAACTGAGACGTTTATTCTCTAAACATGACGTCCCAGTGGCTTTCAAACCACAAAACACGTTACGGCAAAGATTAGTTCACCCCAAAGTTCCAGTTCTCCGGCAAAAACAGTGATATAGTGTATGCTGTTAGGTGTCAGGAGGACTGTGATCAGTCATACATTGGAGAAACAAAACAGCCACTGTTCAAAAGAATGAGCCAGCATAGACGAGCTACTGTGTCGGGTCAGGACTCTGCAGTTTACACTTATCTACAGGCCAGGACTTTGCAGTTTACAGTCATCTACAGGCCAGGACTCTACAGTTTACAGTCATTTACAGGACAGGACTTTGCAGTTTACAGTCATCTACAGGCCAGGACCCTACAGTTTACAGTCATCTATAGGTCAGGACTCTGCAGTTTACACTCATCTACAGGCCAGGACTTTGCAGTTTACACTCATCTACAGGCCAGGACTTTGCAGTTTACAC